CATTTTAAATATTTTTAAATTATGATCTGGTTAGAATCTTGCCTTTCAGAATAGGGCTATGATTATGCTTCCCCAATCACTCATTTCCAAGTGTAGGTAACCATTGTGGAATACTCATTATTAGCCACCTCGGACATTAAGGTTTAATATTTTTCTCATACTACAGCTGTAGATATCATCCATGGCTCTCTTATCCATAGTTTAACCATGATGGGCCCTAATCATCAATGTCTTTCTGTGTTAAGATTGATACTGCTAATACCAGTGTTTAGTTAGGAGGACACTTTGCAAAAGTTAGGAATTCAAAGTGTGCTAATGAGCAGTACAAAGATAGTATATCTGACCCTCCCAGCGTCTACAGAATTGAGGAAAAGAGCATGAAGTATTCCTGTAATATTTGATAAACCAAAAACCCAAACCCGTTGCCCTCGAGTCGATTCCAACTCACAGCGACCCTGTAGGACAGAGTAGAACTGCCCCATAGGGCTTCCAAGGCATAGCACAGTCTAAAGATTACTGATGGGACTGTTCATCGGTAATTGCCATTTATACAAAAGTATCTTCCTCCTTCTATGTAACATCGATGATCTAATTATTTTTCTGGCTATGAATTTGACTAAATACTTGCGAATGCTTGATTAATGAGATTATATCTTAGCATACTAAGTTAAACTCATTTGATTTGTAGGTTTTATGAAAGAAACCTTATCTAGTATTTTGTGTTTTGGTGTTAAGAAATTACTGATTGGATAAATTATGTGGTATTTATATATTATACATATATATGCCATACGTATATATGTTATTTATGTATTATACATATATATGGCGTATCTGTATGTAAAAGCTATTGTTAATATTAAAAATTCCCTTAATATGAATCATCTGTTTTCTTCATTCCTAGATACTATCTTTTTGGTGACTCTTATTTTAATTTCTACTTTTTTCCAGGATGGGAAACTATTGTGGGAACAAGAGCTCTATAATAACTTTGTATATAATAGTCCTAGAGGATATTTTCATACCTTTGCTGGAGATGTAAGTCATATTTTACTTTATTTCCCTATTTAATGTAATTGTTTTTACAGTTGTCTGGAAAGCGTTTATGAACTTTTTGTGTAAATATTGTATCAAATATAAAGAATTATTTTACTTTTAGAAGAGTCTTCATAGATATTATAGCTAAATAGGAAGAAATTCCTAAGATTTTAAGGACCAAAAATAGGAGGGGTAGGGAGAGGTTCAAAAAGTACTGTAAATAAAATCTGCTGTGATGGAAAAGAGATTTTTTTTTTTAAATCATCTTTGTCTTAACTGTGCGACTTTGGGCAAATAGTTTAGCCTTTTTGGGCCTTAGTTTTGTTACTTATAAAAAAATGAGTCTTAAATGTCCAATAATTCATGGTAACCCTTAAATATTGAGTACTGTATAGCCATTCAAATTATTTTGTGGAAGAATAGTTCATGGTCTAGAAGGGTGCTAAAATACAATAAATGAGGGGGTGGAGTTTAAAAATTAATTATATATGCTTGGAGAAAATGTTGAAAGGATTTTTATACCAAGTGCTCACAGGAATTGTCGGAGTGACTGGATTATAGGTGATTTGAGTTTTTTTTGTTTATTTTACATATTTTT